GTTCAAAATACTCGTGTATGTCTATTAATCACTGAACAGCTCTGCACCCTCCTATCTCACTGATCTGCTGCAGCCGTATGTCCTACCGTGTTCTCTGAGGTCAGCGGACCAGTTGCTTCTCACAGTTCCAGGAACCCGTCTTAAGCGCAGAGGTGACAGGGCCTTCTCTGTCGAAGGCCCAAGACTTTGGAATTAGTTACCTCTGCTTGTCAGGCAGGCCCCCTCCCTCACAGTTTTTAAATCCCGCTTAAAAACCCACAACTATTCCCTGGCTTTCAACACTGTATGATGTGTGTTGATCCTGTATGCATCACACTGTGCTAATCATTATGTTATTATCTGCTATTATTTTGTTTCTATATTTTGATTTTATGTTATGTTATGTGTTGCTGTGTGCTTTGCTTGTTTGTTTCTGTTTGTACAGCACTTTGATTGGTCCTGTTGCTGTTTTAAGTGCTTTATAAATAAAATGGTATGGTATATACCTGCCTTTGTTTCTACACTTTTTTATGTATACACTGACAAGGTGAGTTGTTTTTATTTTCGTCCGTGAGGCTGACACATTATCTACTTTTAAGATTAGGCTTAAGACTTCCCTTTTTGATAAATCCTAGTGTTGGCTTGGGTTTCCTGAGCTGTCCTTTAGTTGTGCTGCTATAGGCTTAACTGCTGGAGGACAAACATACCACATTTCTTCACTCTGCTACTCTCTTTACTTACTCTGTTCAACCTGTTTTGTATTTGTTTGACATGTGTTTTTGTCTTTCTTCCAGTAGGAGGTACAACTGGACCTGCCATTCTGTGTTTGTTTGTCTCTCCTTTCTGTCCTCTCAAACCCAGCCAGTCAAAGCAGATGGCTGCTTGTCCTGAGCCTGGTTCTGCTGAAGGTTTCTTCCTGTTAAAAGGGAGTTTTTCCTTTCCACAGTTGCCTTTGTGCTTGCTCATGGTGGGAGACTGTGACGAAGTGAAGATTCAACCAGTCTGCTGGCCTCCTTAGATAGAGAACTTTTGGCTTTTCTACGTATGTGAATGTTCCTGTAAAGTGCCCTGAGACAACTTCTGTTGTGATTTAGTGCTACATAAACAAACTGAATTGAATTTAATTTCATGTTCCGTGTTTGTGTTGTATTGTTTTTTTCTGTTCTGCCCTCATGCATCCTGCTCTTCTCTCCTCACATCAATTCCTAATTTGTTAATTGTCACAGTCTTTGCAGTCAATATGTCACATTTGATCAACATGTAGCTCAAGGGCCAAACGTGGCCCTTGAACCATCTCCACATAGCAATCAGCATCCTTAATTAAAAACATATCCAAGCCTGCGGTTTAGATATTTTCTATTAGTCTTGAGACAACTGAAAAGCCAAACTCCTCTCTGTTTTTTCTTTCCGGTTTCTAACAAAAGCATGTTTTGTAGGCTAAAATAAACCCAAACTTTTCTGTATCGAGTTAGGCTGGCGGAGTCAAACTATAAAGAAATGTTCAAAAAGAGTCAAGCTATATGTATGTTATATTATTTACATGCTATCCTATGATAAAAACTGATCAAGACTTTGTGTGCTCATATTTCATATGGTTCTGTAGCCCACTCATTACCTTAACTCAAAATGGCCTTACTAGAAAATAAAAAAAAAAGAGTTCTGTAGTTGCCAGACCCCAGGCTTTGCTTCACATTTTTGTTTTAGATCCAGGTTTTAAGACTTTGATGTGCCTCTTGATTTGATATTAAAGTAAATTAATGAACATTATTTTGCTTTTTCCTCCTGCTAACTTCCTGCATATGGGTTTTGATTTCACACACATTTTTACAAGGACAAAGATGTTTCTGTGGCATCTAAAGCCTCTGGTGAGGTGATGATTAATGAGAGGCTAAAATGCACTCCAAAATACAGGAACAAAAAGACCGCTAGGCCAACAAATGACAAAACTTCATTTTTCAAAATGTCAGACTTTATTCAAGGATGTTTAGGAATATCTGGTGTTTTTGTGTGAGCGTATAAGCGTGTGAAATATATACACAGAGCCAGCATGTGTACACAGTAGGTCTCATTTCCTGGTTCCCCGGTCAGATGCTGGTTACTCTTTTGAGAGCCGAGCCCACAATGACATCAGCTTCCACAAACACACAAAACATCACCATGGCACCGTACAAAGACATGTTTGGTCCAAAAGGAGGAGGAAGTGGGGGGTGGCATCATGCTTGACACATTTATGGGAGAAGCCTACGTTCAGAAACCCTCCTCCTCCTCCTTCTATTCCTCTGTTACTGTTTGTCCAGCCGCCTGCTGTGGGAAACAGCAGCCGGTTCATCAAAGACTTTCTGAGTCTTACATGAATCTCTGGGCCTGGTGCTCGCTGTGTGCACTTTGCCAATGCACTATAACACTTTTCTACTCTTCTAAGAATAGTTTCTTTCACGTTCTTTAAGTTGGTCTTCTTTACTACATCTCTTTTGATTCCTGTTAATGTCAGATGGAGCTGTGACAATAAAGCCAAAGGTTCTGGTGAAGAAGTGCCCTCCCACTGGGTTTTTCTGTCAACCTGAAAGGGCAGAATGGACGTGTGTGTGTATGTGTGTGTGTGTGTGTGTGTGTGTGTGTGTGTGTGTGTGTGTGTGTGCGTGCCAGATTTTGACTCAGACACCCTGCCTTTCCCAATCCCTCCCAAAAATATGATGTGGAACAATCCACTGATGAGGAAGAGGTTCTTGCCTAGAGTAGAAAAGACATTGGTCTTCATTTCTTCTATTTCATTCAACCTTTATTTATACAGGCTAGTCTTATTGAGTCACAGGGACTCATTTTCAAGAGACTAACCATTATAAATAAAGGTTGAATGAATGAAAAATTATATTGCTCTTTTCTACTCTAAGCAAGAACAAGTACTTGAAAGCAGAGGTTAGTTCTCAGATGAAAATGTTGATCCCAGGACCAACAAAATACATCAAACCTCGAGTTGCTGTCATTAATCCTACTTTGAGTCGTGTGTTGTCCGTCATCAAAAGTCATCTGGACGAGATTAGATCTTATGGGAGTCTGTAAAAATATGGATGGGGTAAAGGCAGAGAACACTAAAATCAAGATTGTGCAAAATAAAAAGTCTGGTTTATTTTTCTCGCTCTGTTCAGCCTCTTTCTGTTACTTTTGTGTCCAACTTCTCTCTCACACCTGGTTCTAGTTAGATAATCAGTGCACCTGCTTTGGATTTTTAGTTCCCCTTAGTGTATAAATAGAATTGCAAAAAGTGTGACCTATGAGTCTGACACTCGTTCTTGCAGCCTTCTTATACATCTAAGTAGGAGTTGGCGAGCCTACAGTTGATATGACAAAGTTATTGATCAGTTACTTTGAAAATGCTGACAACATCCGCCTGCAAATTTTCTTGAAGCTAAAAATATGCTGGTCGTGTTCGACGTTCACAGTTCCTGCTGAACCTGATCTTGCTTTTGCTTTCTTTTTCTGTCACACACAAACTAAATCTTTTGCTTTTGTGGCCAAAAATGGAAGAACATCTCCACCCAGAATCTCTTTTGCAGCAACTATCACTTTATTACATTTAAATTATTACATTGGATAGGTTTACAAAAACAAACTTTCAAAGGAATAATCTATGTTGCATAAATACTGTAAAAGTACCGTATATTCCGCCGTACATGTTGCTCCGCCCTATAAGTCGTATCAGTCCAAATATGTCTAATAAAGTGGAAAAATCCATAAATATGTCGCTTCACCGTATACATTGCATCTATTATGCGTCACCGCTGAAAACCCGCAAATGTGGGCCGAACCTGGAAATGTGGGCTGGTGTTGTGTCAAAAATCGATTGGCTGTCAAATGGCGGCCACGGGAGCGTGATAGGGAGGATTTTAACAAGAATTTAACAAGACTAACACTTAAAAAAATATATTTGTTTGCTCAAAATTATAGTAAATGTGTGTCTCAGTCTAATTTTTGCTTAATAAATGCACTTTGACGGTCAAATCAGCTGCATTTCAAAAGCCGATACGCGGAAGTAGGAACATGCAGATGGACGAGTCGCTGTGCGGTTCTTCAAAATTTAACAAGATAAACACCTAAAAACAATTATTTGTTTGCTCAACTTTATAGTAAAGGTGTCTCAGTCTAATGTTTGCTTAATAAAAGGGCTTTAATGGTCAAATTAGCTGCATTTCATTGGGGAGGTGCAGCGAAATGAAGCTGGTTTGACGGTTGATCCAAGCAGCGAGCAGAACGAAGGCGGTTACTTTGGCAGGCCGATAATAGTTGGTGAAGATTCTCAGTCATCCAGGATATGGTCAATTCACAAAAGTTCAAGACGAAAACAATAAAGTAAAGTTTAATAAATAAAGTTCAATTTTTTTTTTGTATTGAACTCTTTTAAATTTGTCATTATAGCCATTTTTACCTATTATATGATCCAATAGCATGCCTTACTACTCTGCTACCATCTAGCGGCTGAAAATGACAGTGTAAAAATTTTTTTCAGTCAGAATGAATGAAAACTGTTATATCTCAGCCAAAAATTGTTTTATAAATATGGAAAAAAATCCATAAATGTGTTGCTTCAGCCTATAAGTCGCAGGGCTGTAAATTATGCCAAAAATTGTGACGTATACTGCAAAAAAAAGTCAATTTTAATGACAAGGTAATGCTGCTGAAAATAATGGGATATACTGGTGATTTACAATGAAAGGAAATTAAAATATTAGATTTTTGTGGTTAAATTAAGAAAACATTTTGATTATGATGATTTTAGCAGTACTTTGTCCTAAAAATGTAATGCAAATGAATATCATAAAGCAAGAAGATAAAAAAACCCTCATGTACAGGCAATACAAGATTAGAGGCACATGGTCTTGTCATTCTGCCAGATAAGGAATAGCTGCTTCCTGTATTTTTATCTCAAGACCACCAGAACTGCTGTGCGGCTACCGCTCCTTCAACTATACGGCAGTTTCTTTCATGCAACAACATCCATTTGCTCCAGTGTGACATGACACACGTTAAGCCAGTTTGAAAGCACCCAGAAAGGTAGAATCTCCTTCCAGGGATATGTTGGCCACAGAGCGGGGGATCAGAAGCTCCAAGAAGTCTCCCCTTTCCAGCTTCACAATCCCTGAGGAATTCAAATGATTAAACACTATTTGTTATTTTCAGCATTAAAAAAAACTATATATATTTTTAGGACAGACACAATTTCAGACTCATTCCACAGACTCCTCTTTAACAGCTGATGCTTCATAGTTTGTCACTGCTGGGCAAAAGTGATGCAGACTCACCTCCTGTGTAGCAGGTGTTGAACGAGTACGTAGGGTTCATGCTTTGGATGCAGCGGAACAGTTGCACGTCCGGTTCTTCGTTTCCTACAACATACTTTTTCCATCGGATCACCACGTGGCCCATTGTAAAGGTGCTGTCCATGTAGTAGACCTGGATACAATCAGTATTACAATGGAACATGAATAGTTGTGAGAGCATTTGCTATATTATGTAATTAAATATTCACATATTGCATGCTGTCATTTTTAATGTACTTTTCGTCAAAGTCAAAAAACTATTTCTTGTTAAGACTTTTGTTTGGAGAGGAGTAAATGTGTATGTTTGCTAAGAGTAGCAGCAGCCCCATGTGGAAAAGTAATGCTATGACAGAAAAACCAGCCAACCTGACTGTACACAAAGTAGAAGCCCTCCTCTCTGACTACAATGCGGTCACCATCTGCCTCCAGAGCGGAGCCTCTCCTCAGTCCAGCCTGCCAGGGGATGCCGGTGTATGGGCCTGAGGGGAGATCTGATCAAAGATAAGATCTGGTTTCAAAAACATATAAAATCATCAAAAATCATGAAAGTACGTTCCTTTAATTTTAAAGGTAAATAGATGTGCATCTCTGGGTATATGCCCAGAGATTAAAAGAGATTAAAGAGATTAAAACTTTAAACATTAAAAGTTCAGCGATAGAAATAGCTCAACTATAAATACAAACTAAATATAGTTATGCACACTGTACCTTTGATGAAGGGTTTTCTGATATTGTTTGCCAACAGCTGCAGGCAGGACTGAGAAGCTGCGGGAAAAAAAAAAAAAGGTTTATTTGTTTGTAGTGAGATTATTTATTTAGGAAAGAAAATGATTCCTTTGAATGTCATGCCTATACCTACAGTACGACATGGTGACTTAAGTTAACTTGTAAATGCAGTAAAGCTAAACGTCTGATTAGCAACTTTATTTTTTGTGTTTGCTTGTTTTGGGAATAATAAAATAATAATAAAATGTTATTATTAGAACGCTTAATAATTTAAAGCACTTCAAAAATAGCTAGATAAGTCAATATTTGAACATAAAAATTCAAAAGGAGCAGCACGGTGGGCCGCTGGTAGAGCTGCCGCCTCTCACCAAGAAAGTTGCCGGTTTGAATCCCGGCCATTCTGGGTGGAGTTTGCATGTTCTCTCCGTTCATGCGTGGGTTTTCTCTGGGTACTCCGGTTTCCTCCCACAGACCAAAAACATGCATGTTAGACTGATTGGTAACTCTAAATTGTCTCTAGGTGTGAGGGAGAGAGTGAATGATTGTTTGTCTCATTTGTCTCCATGTGTCCCTGTGATGGACTGGAAACCTGTCCAGTGTGTCCCCTGTCTCTTGCACAATGACTGCTGGATATGGGCACCTCACCAGTGACTCCCACGACCAGAAAAGGAAGTAGTGTGTAAAGATGATGGATGGATGGATGGATGGATGGATGGATGGATGGATGGATGGATGGAGTATTCAAAAGTTGACAACAGCAGCTCACTGATTAAATTATTTAAGACCCACTGTACAAAAATTATCAGTAGTGTTAAAAAAATTATATGACAACAGGAAATACAATATAATTCCAATTTTTGTTTGTTATATCAAAATTGAATTCCAAGTTAAATAAAAGTACCGGTAATCAAATTGGAACAGAATAATATACTCTGAAATGTTGAAACATGAAGATAGACAAAATAAAAAAATACATGTACATTATTTTAGATTAGTTAAGATGTTTTGAAGTGGGCTTCTGTAGAAAGACTAAAATTAAAAATATGTTGCCTGTTGTTGTTTAAATGGCCTCTATTCCACTCAGTTCAATTCAAACTACTGCAACATCTAAAATTTCACAGTGGTTTCATTAAAACACTTTTTTATAAGTTACATTGCCGTCAGTTTTACATAACACCATTATTTAGGTTTAAATAAATTCCTGTGAAGTGTCCTAGGCTGCATCTCAAGTGCTGCAGCTTGCTGCTGCTGCTACATGTACTGTATTTATGTTAACACATAACTGTAGATTTCTATGCAAATACATGAGTAATGGGTAAATGACAGTGGTGACAAAGTTTTGAAAATTGCATTTGCATGCAATGCTACAGGTACACAATTTTAGAGACAAGTTATTTTATGGTTGGTGACAATTCACTTTTTGTTTCAGTCTGACTCAAATTAGACCCTTTCAAAAAAAATTAGAATATCATGGAAAAGTTGTTTAAGTTCCATAATTACATTCAAAAAGTTTATCTTTAATAGATGGTAGATTCAGGGCCCACAACTTAAACAATGTCAAGTATTTATTTGGGCAGCACGGTGGCGCAACTGGTAGAACTGCTGCCTCTCAGCAAGCAAGTTCAAACCCCGGTCCAGGGGCCTTTCTGGGTGGAGTTTGCATGTTCTCTCCGTGCATGCGTGGGTTTTCTCCGGGTGCTCCGGTTTCCTCCCACAGACCAAAAACATGCATGTTAGGCTGATTGGTAACTCTAAATTGTCCCTAGGTGTGAGTGAGAGAGTGAATGGTTGTTTGTCTCGTTTGTCTCTATGTGGCCCTGTGATGGACTTGCGACCCGTCCAGGGTGTACCCCGCCCCTCGCACAGCGATTGCTGGACATGGGCACCAGCGACCCCCGTGACCCAAAATGGAATAAGCGGGTGAAGAAAATGGATTAAGTATTTATTTGTTTATTTTTACATAATTTGGGCTTCCTGCTCAGGAAACCCACAAAAACAGGATTTCATAAAATTAGAATACTGTGGAGACATCAGCCCAAATGTTGCAGGGCATGAATGTTTTAAACTGACTGTGACACAATAATCATCTACTAAACTCAAAGCACCTGCACAGGTTTCCCCAGGTGTCATTGAATTGCCTCATTTCGGTTCGATACAGGGAAGACTGCAGACATAACTGGCCAGAAGACCATCATTGATGCCCTCCATAGGATGGGTAAGCCACAAAAGTTCATAGCTAAGGAGGCTGGCTGTTCAGAGAGTGCTGTGTCCAAGCATATCAATGGAAAGTCTAGTGGAAGGGCAAAATGTTGCAGGAGAAGATGCACCAGGAAAAGAGATGACCGTGGGCTTCAGTGGATTATCATACAGAGAAGATTCCAGAATCTGGCAAAGATCCAGAAACAGTGGAATCACAGAGTGGAGTCACAGCTTCAAAAATCACCACATTCAGACGCATCCGGGAGATGGGCTACAACTGCTGGGTTCCTCGGTCCTCTTTTCCCATGAAAGTAAAGTGTGTCTTTCATTCAGAAATCAAGGTCCAAGGGTTTGGAGGAAGAAGGGTGAAGAACATAGCCCATACTGCTTGAGGTCCAGTGTGAACTATCTACAGTCAGTCATGATTTGGGGTGCAATGTCTGGTGCAGGTGTTGGTAAACTCTGCTTTCTTAAATCCAAGGTCATCGCAACAGTCTGCCAGAATGTTTTAGAGGACTTCATGATTCCTTCTGCTGAGGATCTGTATGGAGATGCAGATGTCATCTTCCAGCAGGACCTGGCCCCTGCCCATGCCACAGTGCTTGACTGGCCAGCCAACTCGCTGGACCTAAACCCCATTGAGAATCTATGGAGTATTCTCAAGAGGAACATGAGGAGCACCAGACCCAACAAGAAAGAAGAGCCGACATCAAGCATCAAGGACATCTGGGCTTCCATAACTCCCAGTCAATGCCACAGGCTGATTGATTCAATGCCACGTCACATCCAGGCAGCGATTAAGGCAAAGAGATTCCCAACCAAGTATTGAAGATTGACATATCGTTTTGAAAGTACCATATTTTGATTGATTTGTTGTGATCCTAATTTTTTCTTTTTTTTTCCAAAAGCAGAGAAGTAGTGTGGGCTGATTTCTTCACAGTATTCACATTTTTTGAAATCCTGTTTTTGTGGGTTTCATGAGCTGGAAGCCCAAATTATGTAAAAATAAACAAATAAATACTTGAAATTGTTTAAATTGTGGTCCCTAAATCTACCATCTATTAAAGATGAACCTTTTGAATAGAATTATGGAAGTTAAACAACTTTTCCATGATATTCAATTTTTTTTGGAAAGGGTCTGTAGTTGGTAGCTCATAAACCTGTCCAGAACTAAGGTCAGTTTCTTTAAACCAAGGCTGTTCGACTAGTTTCTGTGTCTACAGCAGGTAAGGTGGGGGAAGTAGGGGCACAGAGGTTAGAGAAGGTGAGCCTGTGATGCAGGGGTCACCAGTTTGAATCCCCTGATCATTACTACAAAATTTGGGTAGAAAAGGTGAAGCATCCACACCTGCCTCCCTCATTTCCCACCACTGTGGGCCATTGAGCAAGGCACTGACCAACCAGTAATCATAGAACTTTACTTTGCAGCTTTGATCCCTCTTTACCACAATTGATCAACACAGCGTACACAGTACTGTAGAAGCTGCAGCAATATGTCTGTCAATTTCATATTTCATTCTTCCCTCACTTGAGAACAAAACCCAGAGATAATGAAACTCCTCCACTTGAGGTAGCACCTCACTTTCAACGCCAAGAGGGTGCTTCATCCTTTACTAGTTGAGGATCATGGCCTCAGATTTGAAAGTGGTAAACCTGAGCCCAGTCACTTCACATTTGGCTGGGGACAACTTTAGTGCGAGCTGCAGATCACGGCACCATGACACCAACAGAATCACATTATCTACAAACAGCAGAGAAAGAATCCAGAGGTCACCGAATGGCTGCACTGAGAAATGATGTCCATAAAACATCAAAGTTCATGCTAATTGTTTTGAATTACTTTGGCTATGGCTGCCTCAGAGGAGTCGATGGGGGAGGGGGGGCCCCATAAACCACCAGCAAACTGATTGGTCCACCATGTGTGCATTGCTACTTGTGGGACTCAGTTTGTTGTGGCTCCTCAGCCCAATGAAGTCCTTTGGATGAAGGCTGAAACTTCTCAACAAAAAATAAACCATCCAGATGACCTGAATGAACTTTGTTGGATATGTCCATAAAAGTTATGAACAGAATTGGTGACAACAGGCAGCCCTGGCTGGGTTCAACACCCACCCTGAAGAGGTTCAACTCACTGCCAGCAATGCAAACCAAAGCCTTGCCTCATGTGTATGGGGAATGAATGACACATATAAACAAATCTCCAATCCCATATTACTGAGCACCCCCCCCCCCCCCCCCACACACACACACACACACACACGCAGTGTACCTCAGGGAACACAGTCCACAAATATGCAAATTCCTACAACCAATAACGTTCTAAAATTGAAGCGCTTTACCATGGGGGATGCTTTCCTTTTCCAGTGGTCGTCACTACAACTGAAAAGGTTTTCTCAAATGGCAATACGTTTGTTTGAAGTGGATGATGTTTCTACAATGGTTCAGAGAAAACCATTAATGAGTTAAGCCTTAACCGTTTTGAAAATTTACCAAGAGAAACATGCAAACATGCTCAAATAAATTATGTTTGCTGCTAAAACAAAAGTGTAGTAAAACCAAAGGAAGAAATAGTAAAAAGAAAACAACTTGTCTACTGTTAAGGGCCTTACCTGACCTCTCTGACTCCAACAACGTTCTCCTCTTCCTTATTTGGTTGAACGCATGTTGAGAGCTAGGAGACTCTTGGACATTGCTCCTGCTACTGATACTTTCAGTCTGCACAGACATGACACACTCCTTAAAACACAATGGAAGGTACAACATCTTCTGTGTCTCATTTGTTATGGTCTGTATCTCTGTACGAGTGTTTACTCACCTGACCTCTTTGCCTGGCCTCTTGTCCTTCTCTCCTGCGAGTGATTTCTGATTTGAGCACCTCTACTTCAGCTCTAAGAGCCACTAATTGGTACAAGGACAACGCTGATAAAGATGAGGAGGTGACAGCAGCTAGAGTCAGCAGGAAAACAGGCCAGGATAACCTTTTTTCATGTGTGTCTTGTCCGGTTCCTGACTTCATGCCTGCTAAAACTGCCATCACATGGGAACATTAAATCCAGAAAAATCTCACAATGGCAGCATAACCGGTCTCATGTCCAAACTCTTAATCCTTTTCTCTTCTCACTGACGTGGGGTAGAAGTTTTTCTTTTGTCATCAAGGTTTCCCAAGAGCCTCGAGCCTTACAGGAGCTGGATTCCCTTCTAGAACAAAGACTGATTTCCTTAACTCTCGTTTTTGTCCTTCGATTGCTCAGAGATTAAGTCTTAGAGAGTGCGCAGTTCAAAGAAGAAAAAAGAAAAACAGCTTCCCTTGTGTTGTTCCTCTTAGCTAACCACACTAACAGCTTCCTGTCTGACCAGCAGCGGACGGAGCAAACCTCTCTTTTCATCAAACACACTTCAGCTTTTCCACACCAAATAGTTCATGTAAGCATAGAGACTTGTCATGATTTGACAATAAAATATGCTAAATATTTGACGCATACAAACAAAGAAAACTGATACATTTTCGTATTAATGGCTGACTTTGACTAAAAGAAGGAAGTGCAAAACTTGCTTCATCGTCAAGCAGCTCCCCAGTTCAAACCAAATTCATTTTGAGAATAAAAATTGTGAGGTCATGCCTATTTACACAAATTATATAAACCATTTTTAGGCAATGTTGCTTTAAAAATGATACGAGATTATGAATGTAGAATATGATTCATGTTTTAACCTAAACATTACTCAGGAATGTTTTTGGATATCCAGTAATTGGCATAAACATTTAGAAAACATACTATTTTTGATGCAAGTAACAAATAATAAATTATAGAGAGGGAAATTATCAATACTTTATCAATTAGTCTAAACAAAATGTTTAAATGAACTACAAGCTTGTCTTTGAAACACCTAAAGGGTATGATATTGAAAAAAGGACTGTGTTGAAGAATAGTTTAAACTCTCAGTTGGTCCTGCATGACAATCTGTCACAAAACCTTTAAAAATTAAATCCATTCAACACAATTCCCTGCTGAAACTGAACCACACAAGAAGAAAATCATATATCATCACTACATGGAAACATTACTGAGCTCTCTGAATGTGAGGTCATCTTAAATGGACAGGAAGAGCATGGACATGCGTCCTGAGGTCATGCAAGTCCAAGGTTTAGCTGGCTTTAGTAAAAATGAAAGTATTCAGGCTGTGATCTGCTGAAGGTGCATTAGTGGCTGCTTGTCATGAAATAATGAGTATCAGTGTTTTAGAACCACATTTTGTCAGGGCATTATTGAATTATAACAACATTAGCTATCATCAAGGTCACATATGGATTTGTCCCCTATGACTAAAGGCAAAAAAATGTAGAGGAGTCAAACAATAAATAGTGTTGAACTGTTGAAATATGGACATAAATGCTATTTGTAAAAATGCAGCCATTAAAACCATAATTCAGGTCGTAAGTAATTCTGTGAAGATCGCTAACACTTGTGTCCAATTCAGAATTGAATTCAAAATCGTACTTCTAACCTACAAAGCTCTCAACAACCTAGCTCCATCTTATAGTCAAGCTCTTATTGTTCCATATTTTCCTAACAGAGCATTTCACTCTCAGACTGCAGGCTTATTGGCGCCGCAGTTCCTAAAGTTTCCAAATACTGTATTTCTGACTCGGAAAGGAGAAGTGGATAAAGAAAAAGAATAAACGTATGGATAAACCAAATGTTTCTGCCTTCTCTTATTGTTGGGAACTGAAGTCAGCAAAACTCACTTATTGGAAGTGCCATGTGATGTTTTTGGGACATGCTGGGTTTTCAGTCCAACTTGTGCCCCTCCATATCATGGTGTCAGATGACCATTCTTCTAAGCATGGACTCACTAATTACAATGTAGAAAATGAATATTTGAACTCACTGCAGAAAAGTGCAATGTGAATCAACAAGAGTCAACACCTAGAAAATTCTTCTTCTTTCGGCTTTTCCCTCTTCGGGGGTCTTCACAGCGAGTCATCCTCCTCCACCTCACTCTGTCCTCACTCCAACTACCTCCATGTCCTCTTTAACTGCATCCATATATCTCCTCTTTGTCTTTTCCCTGACAGCTGCATTTCTAACATCCTTCTACCAGTATACCCACTGTCCCTCCTCTGGACATGTCCAAACCATCTCAGTCTGGCCTCTTTAACTTTATCTCCCAGTTCTTCAACCTGTGCTGTACCTCTGATGACATCATTCCTAATCTTATCCATCCTTGTCACTCCTAAGGAGAACCTCAACATCTTCATTTCTGCCACTTCCAGTTCTTGCTCCTGTCTTTTTGTCCATGTCTCTGTCTCCAGACCATACAACATAGCTGGTCTCACCACTGTCTTGTAAACTTTTCCTTTGACGACACCCTTTTGTCACAAATCACCCTGAAACTTTTCTCCATCCACTCCATCCTGCCTGGACTCTCTTTTTCACCTCTTTACCACAATCATTGGATCTGATGGAACGATGAGCTAACGGCTAGTCGTAGTGAGTGTGGATGAAGTGTTATCAAAGCCGTTTCAAAACAACTCGTCTCTGTTTCTGCCAAAACAACTGTTTAATATGAAACTGGTGTGGCTTATGAAATAGTTTACATAAAGTGCCATACATTTTTTTTTTACTGTTTTAAATATTTTTGATTTTTTTCCACAGAACACATTCAAAAATCTGTAGTTGCTATACATTCCCAGATCTGTAGAGTATAAATAAAGGAATGGGTTGTTTAACATGTGCATGTCTCTTCATATTATTCAAGCTATCAGGTTCAAGAATTGTTTAGACGTTTTATAAACGGTTTAATCGACATGAAGCACATTTTTGTTGTTTGTGTTTCTTTAACAATAGGTGCAACTAACTTAAACTACAGGCAACATAATTGCAGTGAGCAACAAAACAAGCAAACATGAAAGGATGTATCAATTTATTGCAAGTCACCAATACAGAAAATAGAAAGTGAAAATGTGTGTTTACAAAAGAAGTGGACAGAGATTTTAAATAGAAAAAAAAAAAACTTGAGATGGAAAATCAGTACCAATGTTAAAAATCATCTCATTCACATGATTTATGGTTTAAGTTATAAATCCTCAATCAAATATGTACACCGAGCATTTCAACACTGTGCACACTACAGGAGACTCAATGCAGCCACGTGAGCCTGAAGAAAAGCAACTTATAAATGTAAAATATTAACATTTCCAATCCGATCTGTTCACATGAACATAAACATATGATGCACAGTGCATTGTGTTCATATTTAAAAAGACATTCAGTTTTCTTTTCATCATCAGTGTGTGATCAGGAACACATTTGATGAGGAAAGCTCATTCAATTTGTTTCAGGCCTGTCAGCAAAATAATACACGTTTAAACCAATGACGCTAAGTGAAAGACCTGTTCCTAAAGGTTTTTTTTTTTTTTAAAATCAATGTAGAAATTGTGCAATTCAAATCAACAGCATAAACTCATAAAACCACATTAGTGGAACAAATTAGTAAATATTTACAAAGTTGAATGCAGCATGTGGATTGAATACGTTACAAAATGAATCTGGGGAATCAGTGGAAAAAGTTACATAAATAATATTTTTTTTTAAAACAGGTAACACTGATCACAATCTTAATGCATGGAGATTTAGGGCCACCTTTCACATTCATAGTGGCTTCAAGAGTTTTTAACTGTAATGAAAATGAGACTTCTCGAAGCTGTCAATTGTTTTCCAATATGGCTGAAATGTGTTGAATGAATTCAAATGGCTTTCAAACCACTGCAGTGCACCGTGCTGTATTTAAAAAGCAAAGAGCAGACAATAGAGTTTTAATCATCAGGCTTTGCTCTGTCTCTGGAAGACATGCAGAAAAGGGTCATTAGCTCATTAAATGCTCCCACCCCCCAAGTGAGAATAGTCATTTAGCCACAGAAGCATGAGGGGGGAGAAATAATCCTCCAGTTAACGGCGATGCTGAAGATAAATCACAACATTTGATAAAAAAACTTAATTTTTTTAATGACAGAAGTATTCTTATTTCATTTCCCATGATGTCCTAACGCATCACTGATGTGACCATACAGTGTTTATGTGGTGAAAGGCCATTTCTGGAAACGCTTCTCATGAAGTGATGAGTGTAAAAGTTCACACTTTGTTTATAAACCAAAACACATCTGAAACGAACTGTAACAAACACGAGCTGTCAATTCAAAGTACAGTTTTTCACATTTTCATTTTAGTAACTGAAGTACATAGGAATAATGATTTTTCTTTTAGCAGATATATTCACATCACGGCCTCATGTAAGTACAAAACAAAATCATTTTGTTCCAATGTCAACACAAGGATGATCCCAGCGATCAGCAGCAACTTCGAGCGCTTTCAGCACACATGGCACTGTATAACGACAGACCTGAACCAGTTTGTGAATAATCCTCTTTATGAAACAGTATTTCAAAGTTGCTTAGTAACAACTACGGCTCATTTAAAAATAACTCTTCTGTGTGCTAGTTGCATTTTGATGCAGTGCTAGAGGAGAGATGCCTCTCCTTATTTTAAAACAGAAGTAGTTTTAACAGGAAATAATCAATCAAGTGTTTTTTTTTTTTCCTAATACATCATCTGACCACCTCATTTCACCAATATGAACATAAATAAGCAACAAGATCTTTTTTCCCCCAAACGTAGCAGAAAAAATTTAAAGGCAAGCATAAATTTTAGAAGGATAATGCTAGAAGATGCCGAGCTGCTGCACAAACATGACAGTGTGGTTTGTCGTCATAGAAGAGGGTGAATAAAGAACATACTCTCACTCTTTAATGTATTGCTTAGAAAGTTTTAGCTCATGTAAAGAAATTGATGAATAAACCTGAACACAAAAAAAATGCAATTTAACAATAAAGCTCTATATTTACACTTCTAAATATCATTTCAATTTACAAAATCAGACACTGCTACGTGTAATTTCCATTTGAGTAACATTCAATTTAATCTTAAATATTAAAACTTTATGGTTTTAATACTATAAAACTGATCGATTAGGAATAATTTCAACTGATGGTGATTCTATGATTGTGACACGTTTTGTGGTATAAGCGTGGCTTCATTAAAAAAAAAAGTCTTAAATACATGCGTTCACAATTGCACACAGCAAAAATTCAGGGTGTTCATACCATCTCTTCAAACCTTGAAACTGTGAAAATATTTTAGCGTAATAAATTTACATAAAAGGTAGAAAGAGTGAAATTAAATAAAACCCAAACAAAAACATACATTCCTTTCACAAATCAATCGGGTCTCTCCACCACATCCATATTCTGTAGACACAGTTGCTTTAGACTGATCAGATAATGGTGACACTGGCTGAGGACTGAGCTCCCTCCTCATGAGCATGGCTCTTCAGCAGATCTTTCATGAACTGCTCCAAAGCAGAGAAGTAGCCCTGACACTGCCACGTATCATTGTGTGTGCCTTCTGGAAAGATCGCCAGGCGTTTAGTCCGTGCAGGAGACAGCTCATACAGTTGCTTCATCATAACAGGTGGGATGAGCTGGTCTGACAGACCCGACACGAACAGCAAGGGCATGCGGCACAATGCCACGTGGCGATAGGACAGGAACTGGTTCCTGTAGCACCATAAGGGCAGCAGACGCACGGGCAAAAAGGAGAACAGTGTTGCAGCCATATGGGGGATGCTGAGGAAGGTATTTTCAACAATAATGGCTGCTACACGGTGAGGGTTGACTGATGCCAAGCGAACAGCCACAGCACCTCCTAATGAGCGGCCAAAGAGTACCACCTTTGTCTTGTCCAGGTCAGGCCGGGTCATAACATAGTCTAGTGTGGCCTCAGCGTCCAGGTACAGCCCATCCTCACTGGGCTCTCCCTCACTTTTTCCATAGCCACGGTAGTCCACCAGCACTACATTTGCTTTTAAATTAACCAGCATCAGAAGTGCGTTTGGCACCCTGTGACCGATATTACCTGCATTCCCATGGAAGTAAAGGATTGTAGGTGGAGAAGAGGAATTGGAGCTGCTTTGATTTGCAGAAGTGACTCCAGGAAGGGTATCCCCTCCTGTATAACGAAGCAAGATGAGGTTGAGCTTCACACCGTCCTTGGTGCGAATGTACACATTCTCATGTGGAATTCCTGTTGGCATGGGAACGTAAAGGCGAGAGGAGGCGGGCTGGTTGGGAAAGTATAAAAGAACATCCTGGAATTTATAGAGGATGCCCGCCACAGATGCTAGGATGAGAGCAAGGAGGAAAAAACCTCCATATATGTGGAAAGTGAGGATGAGGGCCAAAAGAGAGACCCGACAGGCACCCCAGGACCAAGACACCAAAGTCAGAGTGCAACGCTCTATAGCCCCCCACAGCCTCCAGGGCTTCTCCATGGCTGCACAAGAGCTGAGTCACAAAACACACAATCTGCATAAAACAGAAAACAAAAAAGGAAATGTAAGTGGGGTAAAATCAATAGATATTTTGAATGACTCACCTTTAATGATCATAACACAGAAAACACAACTGATATTCAAAATAACTGGTTTACAACAATATATCCTGTAATAGCACACAGTAATTCATATATTCATTATTTTTATGTATTTCCAATTTCCAAACTATAAAATTGAAAATAAATGATTAAACTGATAATGAAGAGTTAGTCCAGTCATCAAGGATATTGTAAAGCTGACACAAGTAAATCGAAATTCAATCAGAGTTTTTTAAAATGTTGTCTACACCTGCTTAATATCCACTGGTAGAGTTTCTCAGTTTCCCTTTTATTGGGACTACCTAAAAACATAGTGGTGTATGTTGGAAGTAAAAAAAAAAACTATAAAAAAAAACCAAATAATTATAATTTAATCAGATTTTGTTGCTTTTGTTTTGAATCACGTTCTGAAAAAAAATGTCTTAAAAAAAAAAAAAAAAAACTCCTTTAACATACAGATCTGACCAGATTAAAAACAAATAGCCCACATAGTGCCACTGTGTTAATCTAAATGAAAGTACACAAGATCTATAGATGTATATACATCAAAATGCACTTAGTCAAATACAGTATTAGAGTAGCATCTATGGAAACAGTTGATGACAAGATGAGGTGTATATGGTTAAAATACTGCCATGTGAACATTTTCTCTTGTGTAATTAGACTAAAATGGTGATAAAATTTAGTTAAAAAAAGATCAGTCATCTCATTTAATTAGATCAAGTATTCAAGCGATACTCAACAAGTCTAAAGAAAGAAATACTTCCAAAAAATGACAACAAAAACAATATTTGACTCAGATGATGACGTTTCTGGAACGCAACAAGAACTTGCATTTATACCGCTTTGAGATACAGAAGCAATAACATAAATAAATAATTATTCAAAATATCCCCTCAAACAATAACACCACCTGTAAAAGGTTTAATTATTTAGCCCACTAAACACTCCCAAAACATTTGATTTGATCAGTGTCAGAGGAAACTATAAACATCCATGTTCTGAAACAAACAAGCAGATTTAATCCCAGGTTTAAATCATGTGCAATGTGTAAAAGGTTCGCAAAAACGCCCTGTGATGAGTTAACTTCATTGTAACTAGGTGCATACTGTAAATAGCACACGGATATATATATATATATATATATATATATATAAAACATGTCTCGACCCCACCCACAAGGAAGCGACATTATGAAAGCTGGTGCCGTCCGAGTAAAAAAAAACTGCATTTAGAGAATCGTTCACAAACAACTAGTTAAATATCAAATTCACGCAAGTCTGTTTGTCAGTCACGACGAGCTGTCAACTCAGCCGAGACACTGTTCTGATCAGAAATGTGAACTCCTACAGAATTAGCAGCAGACGAGTTAGCCTAGTGGCTGCTAGCATCGTTGAATCTAGCTTTCAAGTTAGCCAGCTACTTATTTTGACAAGGGGTTGCCTTAGCAGCCAGTCTACTCACCTTTCTCTCATTTTTAGCGCCTCAGTTGATGAGATTTTTTACCCAACAATGGCACATGGACAGCCCAATTACTGTCATTCAGCTCTGCACTGGAGAACAAAACTGTAGTGCTTCCAAAGAGACAGCCGAATGACACCGGTGAGGCTAGAGCTACAATGGCTAGCATTCCAGGTGTAACTCTAATTTGGTTCCGTACAGTTCAACGTCGGAGACATAGTTCCGGATGTTTTTGGGTCAGCTTACATTTATTTATTGAGCATTTCATACCTCCAAGTGAACTTTGCAGGGCCTAACAATGTGGATACCTAATGCATCAGTTGATATAATTCACAAATGCTGGGATTCCTTTAAGTTATTTAATTTCTAATAATCATGAACAAACCCCGTCTGCTGTTCGATATCCACCCACCAGGTGCTGCTAGAGTTTACAAAATATTTCTTAGCGCTACCTTATAAACATTTCTAGTCACGAGGAATAAACAAAGCTGGTTTAGAAAAAAGGCTAAGGAATATGACCAGTTTAAAAATAATTTAATTTACATTTTTTAATCTGCATAATATTTTTATGCTGACAACAGCGTTTACAAATAATACTAATAAGCTGTATAGGTTATAGTACAACAGTATATATATATATATATATATATATA